AACCTCTTTCTATGTTAATTCTGGTCAGTTTTAATGGTTATGTTGGAACTCTATAGCAGGTGGTCCCAAACAAAAGGATTCTCTATTATAAATGCTTGAAATCATTTTATAACCTCTCGTGACTTTTTCGTATTTCCTGTTTGCTCTGAGATTCCACTCTCTTACTTTGCAGGACTACCACCCCCAGAATTGGAGACATTCTGCAAAAGTTAGCTCCTTTCCTTAAGATGTACGGAGAGTATGTGAAAAATTTTGATAATGCAATGGAATTGGTGAAAACGTGGACTGAACGGTCACCTCAATTCAAATTCATTATTCAAGACATTCAGGTAATGGGGAGAATAATGTAGATCTCCAAGTAATAAGAGCATATATAAAAATATATAGTTTATATAGGGTGAGAAAAGGATTAAAGAGAAAAGGAAATACCAAATCCCTTAGAATTAAGGGTTGTTGGTTTTGTCTGCTTCATACCACATTCTGCTTCTTCACCTTCTCCCTTCATATGTGCATAAATACTCCCACAAATCCAGACTTCCGACTGCAAAACAGAGGACCTAACTAAAAAGGTTGAAACATGAGAAGAATGAAAGTATACTATTTTGTATTATTTATCTTAAATCAGTATTCACTTTTGGTATCTACAACAAAAATTAGTATCAAGTCAACTGTCAGTGCACTTACGGATCCTCACACTGAATCCATAAATACTGTGTTGGTTTGCACCAGTGCTGTTAACACAGAGCTTTATGCTGTGTAAGTAAGTATGAAATCCTCAATGCTGAGACACAAAAGGCAAAGAAAGCTTAGCAGTTCCGCAACACGCGTCTCCAAAACTGCTTTTTATACCCTCTAGTGCTCCCTGTAGGTTTCTCTGTGAATTGGCAGGTATGAGTGTCTTAGGGCCGACTGAGCAGCTTGAGCTGGGGTAAGGCTTTCCTACTTAAATTTTACTGCTCAATGAGGTCTCGTGATTCGAAGCCAGGGAAGACAACGATGTGTATTTGAATAAAATATTTTAATTGAATATAAGATTATGGAAATTAATATGCATCTTAAAACACTGCTGAGGGGGTCTACTTTATAAATGAAACTCAGAGAAACTTTTCCTCAGCTAAGTAAAATACACCTTTGGAGCCCATTTAAGCGACTTTTTCTAATATGTGGTCATGAACTGTTCTTGTTAATTCAGTAGTGATTCTCTTGTTGAGTCATTACAAACCTAATTTAAAATACACTGGAAGCTGGGAGATCTTTTGGATACTTAGGAAAGTTTTTACAATTATTTTTAGGAAAGTATTTCTAATTATTTGGTTTGGTAAAGTAGTTCTGTTTTCTTTCAGAAGGTCTATCACACATGTTTCAAAATACGTTACTTATGTTTCATCAATCATAACTTTTATTTTACTATATTGTAGTAACATTTTTGCCTGCTACATTGAAATATGTTTACAATTTTTTAGAAGGAAAAAGTGTGTGGAAATTTGACATTGCAACATCACATGCTAGAACCAGTACAACGCATTCCACGCTACGAGATGCTTCTAAAGGACTACCTAAGGAAATTGCCTCAGGATTCTCTAGACTGGAAAGATGCTGAAAGTAAATATCTTCGAGCCATTAAAAGAGCTGTAATAAGATATTAGTAAGAGGATACTGTAAATTAAAGATATTCTCTGGAAAAACAGAGTGAAGAAGCAAAGTCCCTCTAAAAGAATAACAGATTTTCTTTGGGGGAGTTGTAGAATTCTTTGGGGGAAAAAAAGAAGAGTTTTAATAGTGAAGTTAATAAAAAAGCTCTAAAGCCTTTAGTGTTCTCCTCCTGGAGTGCATAGGTTTCACTTTAGTTTTGGATTAGTGCACAGATTTATTTGCTTTGCAGATGACCAGGGGTTGCAGTGGTTTTTGTTTGTTTTGGGGTTTTTTTTTGTTTGTTTTTTTTTTTGCTTTTGTTGGCATTTTGGTTTGCTTTATGCACATTTGGAATGTATGTCTGTAAAAAAAAAAAAATGGAGTTACGCTCATTATTGTATTTTTTCCTGTAGGAAAAAAGAACAGCCCATTTTTAAATTTATTCCGCCCTGTCTTTACACAAGAACAGTTCAAGATATTTCCATGATTGTTCAAAATTACTTGCCAGATAATTTTTTTAAATACTTCATTGTTAGTACCATTACTGTAAATATTTGTAACGTGAGCTGTTCCAACTAAAAACCACAGTTTGATATTTTGGACTACTTTGTGAAAAGAGGGGAGAGAGTCATGACTGGTCATGTCATAAAAAATGTGATTCTAAGTGCTGCAGCTCTAAAGTAATCTGCAATAATTCTCTTCTGATCTTTCCAGATTATAGTTTCTATTTGGTAGCTGACTTTCTTATGCTTTCCACTTTACCTTGGTTATTTTTATTGATAACTTAAGAAATTTATTATAGTGTGTAATTTACATAAAAGTGGCAAATAGTTTTGTAGACTGATCTTTTAGGTTTGGGTTTTGGTTTTTTTCCCCTCCCCTATGTAATATGTAAAAGTGCAGCTTTTTGGGTTTACTTCTTTCTTTTCCTTCTGTCTAGAATCCCTGGAAATTATATCCACTGCAGCAAGTCACTCGAATAGTGCAATAAGAAAAATGGTAAATTATCCTTGTTTTCCTGGTCACTTTTTAATGTATTAGATTTGAGTATTTGGTGAAGCTAGGAGCATGAAATGCAAATCTACCCAAAAATGGGTTTCCTGGGTCCAAGTGATTGCTCCTACTTAATGTATTTATACAGCTCCTGGGAATAATAGACAAAATCTAGCTGGGTTCCTCTCCTGGCTCAAATAAGTGATATCACGCTGGACATTTAATCCTTCTTTCATCCATGTCTGTCAGTGGAAGGATAATGTTTGTAAAGAGTAGTTACTGTATCTCTGCAATATTAGGCTGGAATGATCAGCACTTCATTAGGTATGAGAGATACTTTGGACAAGAAATAATGCAGGCTGTATGTGTAACTGCATTTTTAAAATTACCAAGGAGGTAACATTCCTAAAAGTACTTGTTACTGCATCAACTGATTTAATCAGCCGTATGCCTGACCATACATAACAGGTGTATATATACGTTTTTCAAAGCTAACATTCTCCAGACTTACACAGGCTCCCATCATTTCATTTAAATACATTTAAAGATCTGTGCTTTTAATTAGTTTTATAACTGTATTTTGCCTCTAAAGGAGAATCTAAAGAAATTGTTAGAGATATACGAGATGTTGGGAGAAGAGGAAGACATTGTGAACCCTTCAAATGAACTGATAAAAGAAGGACAGATCCTTAAACTCGCTGCTCGTAATACGTCTGCCCAAGAACGGTATCTTTTCCTAGTAAGTATGGTGGCCTGTGTTTGCAGGAGTGGCTGTATATCTTTCTAAATGTGAAAGAACTACCAAAGAGAGAGGGAAATCCTCTCTACCTCGTATCGGTGCTTTTCCACTAGTGATATTAGAGCACGAGTAAAACACACACTGCTTACAGAAAGGCTTGAATGGAATGGCTAGAATGGAATACATGGTTTAAATAAATAGAACCAGTGTCCAGCAGCTCATTTTTACCTAAAGTGGCCACTGATTATAAATGCAGGTCCTAGAGCACAAGAACTTTGATGTTCTCATGAAATTGAAATGTAAAAGCTTAGTATTCTAGTCCTGATAGATTGTGTGTTGACATCCCGGTAAAGTCTCATGGTCCTGTGGGAGCTTGATATCATGGCAGGTCATCCTCTTGTCAGGTGTGTGTGTCCTGTCTTGGAACTAAAAAACTACAGCCATGCCCCCTTCCAACTCCCTTAGAAAAGTTTTGATGCAGTTCATTGTTTTAAAAATTGCATAGTTCATGCATTAAAAACTGCTTATGCATTTGTACTTATAAACTTCTGGCATTGCAAGTCTTCTGGTTAATAAAGACTAGTAATGGGTTGTTGAGGCACAACTGCTTATCTGTGCTTCTAACAAAAGGAGAAATCATTGAATAGTAAGACCTCACACGGGGCTAGACAGCTGATGAAACCAATGTGCGCTGCATACGAGAGGTGACAAGTTCAAATGTGCTGTATGTGTGATACAGATTAAACAATAGGCTAGACAGGATTTCTATGAAATAAGATTTAACCAAAGTGAGTGTCTCTTTTTTTAATAATTAATTTTGAGAAAAATGTAAGGGGAAAAAATGTGAGAAAATGAAACACTATAGATCTGATTTAGTAACTGTGCTTCTAGGCTGGGGCTTTAGATATTTAAATATTATTTAAAACTCTAATCTTTAATAAAGGAATATATCTTTGTCTTGCTCTTTTTTTGTTTTTTTTTCGTATGATATTCAGGGTTTCAGTGAATGAAAACTAAGAAATGTTCTTCTGTCTTGGAGAAAAGACATAATTTCTTCAAATAATATTAGTTATAACTTCTATAAATCCAAATAATTTTGGTACAGGGTAAATAGAAATATATACACTGAAGAAAACAGTTCTTATTTTTCAGTTTAGAGTAGGTGTTGCAGACCTGGGGCATAAGAACGGGGTTTTCTAACAAAAGCCGTATAGTGCTATAAAATATCCAGTCTGAGAATAGTTGATAATAAATGCTATGAAGATTGTTCTGCATATACCATCATTTATCCACTGAAGGTGTCCTTTAATCTTATTTCTAAACAAGTAAGAAAAAGAAGCTGTCTTGCATTAGAACTTTGTCTTTCTTGTATATCAGTTGAGTGGGAAAGAACCTGCTTTCTCACCCACTTAATCTAGCTTTGTGATACCATCCTGCTCTCAGTAGAAACTGTGGCTTTATTAGAGTTTTTGTTAATGCAAACCCATGCATTCTTTTTTTCCCCAGTTTAACAATATGTTGCTCTACTGCGTCCCCAAATTCAGCCTGGTAGGATCGAAGTTCTCAGTTCGAACCAGAGTTGGCATAGATGGTATGAAGATTATAGAAACTCATAATGAAGAATACCCACACACTTTCCAAGTATCTGGAAAAGAGCGAACACTGGAGTTGCAGGCCAGGTAAGCAGTCTTTTTATCTAGCTTTTGGAGGATCTAATATATGCATGAAAAGGAGTGGACTAATAGATTTAGAGAAAGAGGCAGTGGGCTTCATCTTAGTGTTTTGAAAAAAGCCTAGGCTGCCAACCTGAATTCACTGCCTAGTGGCTGCAAACTTGTGAAAGCCTAAAATCACGCTTTTGTTTTCTGTTTTGTTTTAAGATGGACAGTTAATTAATATTTTTTAAATTTAAATTCCTGAGAATTACTTCAGAAGCTTTTATGAGAAGTTTTTGATAGTGAGATCATGTTTCCTGAAGTAGTTTTGGACTAATGTTTCAAATATTTCTTTTAGTTCTGAACAAGATAAGGAAGAATGGATAAAGGTAAATTTATCTACATTCTCTATTTTCTAAACATTTTTTTCACTGAAGCAATCGAAAAAGTAATATTCATATTTTCTAGCTGTAGCTTTCCTCTGCTAATTAATAACTGGTAAGAATGCAGAGAATCTGTTTTAAATGTAGAATGTTTGAGGGATTTCTGCACTGTTTCCTCAGGCACTTCAGAATACAGTAGAAGCTTTTCAGCAGAGGAATGAAACTTTCAGAAATGCTATTGCTAAAGAATATGAAGACATGCCTGTTGAGGTATCTGTAAGTTGCTGTTATTCCTTTGTAACCTTCTTAGTACCCATTTTGTTCCTCAATAACTGAGAAAACATTGGCAGAAACTTTGTTTGCAAGCCCTTCATTCTTATAGCAGAGGAATTATGAAGTAGTCATCTTGTTGGTAATTGTTTTTCTTCATAATACCAAATC